CACTAAGAGAACAATATGCAATGTACTAATTATTGAAAATGTGCCAGTACTCGGTTTTGAAACTGTCTTGTTGATAGTTGTTTCTCAATAAAATTATTTTTAAAAAAGAAAAAATAAGTAAAGTTTAAGCAACAAAAATTAAAATATATATAGTTCTAGAAACATTAAACAGAGCAATTAGATGAGAGAAAAAAAATTTAAAATAAAGATAGGAAAGGAGGAAGTTAAATTATCATCATTTATTGTTGATATACTACTACACATAGAAGACCTCCAAAATTTCACCAAAAAACTTCTATATGTAATAACCAAATTCAGTAATGTAGCAGGATACAAACTCAACACTGAAAAGTCAATAGCTTTGCTAGACGTGAACAACACACTCACTGAGAGAGAACAGACAAACAACACCTTTCACAATAGCATCCAAAACACAAAATGCTGAGGAATCATTCTAACAAAATAAATGAAAGATCTATACACTGAAAACTATAGTACCCTGAAAAAGGAGATTAAAGGGGATATTAGCAAATGGAAAGATTCTCTATTGTAGGATAGGTGGGACTAATATGGTAAAAATGGCCATACTGCCAAAACTATTACAGAGACAATGCAATCCTGATCAAAATACCAATAGCATACCTCACAGAAATAAAAGCAAACAAACAAAAAATCCTAAACTTCATTTGGAACCAGAACAGATGTATAACAGCAAAGCAATTCTGGACAACAAAAGCAAGGCAAGGGCCATCACAATCCCTGACTTTAAATTGTATCACAAAGCTACTGTGACAAAAACAACATGGTACTAGCAAAAAAAAAAAAAAAACAGGCCCAAGAATCAGTGGAACAGAACAAAAGATGCAAAAACAACTCCAAGCACAGTCAGCTATTTTATTTTTGACAAAGGGGCAGAACACTTCCATTGGAAGAAAGATAGCTTCTTTTAACAAATGATACTGAGAAAACTGGCTTTCCATAAGCCAAAGAGTAAACATAGATCCCCTACCTCTACCATGCACTAAATAAAAATCAAAATGGATCAAAGACCTAAATATTAAAACAGAAACACTAAATCTAATGGAAGGTAGAATAGGGAAAAACTCTTGAAGATATAGATGTAAGCAAACACTATGAATAAAACCCTGATCACATAGGAAATATTAAATCAACAACTGAGATCTTATCTTATGAAAAGCTTTTAAACAGAAATCACCAACAAAGTGAAGAGACCACCCATACTGGGGGAAAAAATTTATCAGCTATTCATCAAAGGACTAATAATATCTAGAATATATATAAATAGTTCAAAAAATCAGACCCTCTCCCTAGTTTATAAATCTCCTTATGTTGGTTGGTCTTAAACTCAGGAGTTCCTCTCACCTTAGCCTCCAGAGTAGTTAGCAATAGTCATTATTTCTTCTATGTGTATGTACCCATTATTAATTTTAGGTAAGTTATTTATTAGGCATTAGTAATGACAAGACAACACGGAGATTAGGCAGAGAGAGTATGTTGCCTATGGAGAAATTTTGCAATTAGTGATCAATATTAGTGTCATTTAGGGAATGGGAAAATATTTAAAAAGTTACAAGATTTATTAAATTGATGGCACATACAGCTAAAAGAAGGTAATATAGTTTCACAGCTCCTCACATACACTATTCTCAATTATCCAGGGTGGGGGATTTGAAACTTGGTAAATTTAAAAGTTTCAGGTAGGGGCCAGGGAGATGGCTCAGTAGAATAAGCGCTTCCCTGGCAAGCACAAGGGCCTGGGTTCAATCCCCAGTTCCACCAAAAAAAAAAAAAAAAGTTTCAGGTAGTTTCTGCTCTCAAACATAATCATTATTGCTATAATGACAATAGTAACTTGAGTAAAGGCCAATCCTACTAGAACTGAGAATGCTGATTAGTAGCCTATAAACTTAAACTGTAATAATTAGTATATGTGACTTGTATTAATGATCTTCCATTACCCTATGCATATTATGATTTCCAGAGAATATACTGAATAGATAACAGTGGCCAGAAAGCATAAAATTAGTTTCATGAAATTCATTGTAATGCTGTAATCACTCTAACATAAAATGTAATAATGGCATTTGCAAATAAAGTGTTAGTAGATGTTTACAGTTGGGAAAGTCACCAAAATGATGGCTTCAGAATTAGAGTTCAATAAATATCATCCAAGAGTGAAATTATATTTTGTGCAAATAAAATTCCAATCATTAAATATATTACTTTTTAAATGAAGGAAGATGATTCTCTATGGTTTCTTACGATAGGCCACATGACCAATCAATTGCTCTTAATTCTCTGCTCATCCAACAGGCTTTGGATATATTTTAGTCCTTCATTCAACAGAAAGGGTGTGATCCTATACATAACAGTTATTTATTGTGTTGCCATATATACTTTCTATAATTTAAAAATTACATAATACTTATGCTTGTAAGTAGGCACTTAGGAAATTTGGTTAATGTCAGTTTTCTACTACTTGATAAAAATGTTGCTAACCCAGAAGCATGCTAACTCCATGCAAGAAAACTAAATGTATACTATACATGAATACTATGCAAAAAAACATGCAGCTACCTTATCTTTCAATAATAGATTCATCCAAAAAACCCTCAGTTGTGGGAGTAAAGAACCAAAAATATCACTTTTCAACTTGGAACCCCCTCCTGAATTTGTTAAGCTTCTCATTTTATTGCTCTGATTCATTAACCACTTCTCATTGTTATGGTTTAGACTATGTATAATACAATGTAAAAATCTAAGTATGAAATATTCATAGTAATAAGAATAACAACAATAACAATTTCTATTCTAGAGAGTAAAAGACTTCTTATAATACTTGATGAGGTAGGTATTACTATTTCCAATATATAGAAAGAAACTGAGAACATTTGCCTCAAATCATGGAACTCTAATCTGATCAAGATTTCAACACTGCTTAGGCTGAAATTAAACCTCATAGTTTCAACCATTATGCTATACTTGCTATCCTAAACATTTATAAAACACTGGAGATAATGAAAGTAGAAATGATAATTTGAGGTATCAACAGCAACATAACCATACTCTACTATAACAGCCATATGATTCCTACATTTAAGGTACTATAGGTTCTAAGATTTGAATATAATTGCTTATTTAGGGTCATACAGCCACAGTACAATGATAAAGCACTTTAACATTATGACAAGTAAATGCTATGGCTACAGCTTTATATTAGTGTAGCAAATAATAGAATAACTTCAACAATACTTTTAACAATAGTAACAGAATGCTTGTATGGTCTTGCTATTCTGTCACATGTACACTTGAAATGAGAAAAATTCAATAGAGATACGATAAATGTGGTTTGAAACGTACTTTGCAATCTCCGTGTTGGGCTCTCTCCGTGGAGCTGTCTTCGTGGCATGTATGGAGATGGGTGGGGAAGGGGCAAGGAGGAGGCATCGTGGGTCTGGAGTTTGTACCAGTGCGGCTCATCATCCAGCAATGCTGTTTCTAGTTCAATTAAAATCTACAGGCCCAAGAGACAAAGGACTGTTACAGTACAACAGTGATACACATGTTCTTACAACTTTTATAATAGTAATGGTAATGCTGTTAGATCAAAAATAAAGTCATTTGGATATTGCAAAATGATCAGCACATTTTGACTAAAAGTTAAAGTTTTCTAACTTAAGATTTACTAATTTTAAATATATACCATATTCACTCGGTAGACCCTCGACCACAAAACTACTAGTTGATATTAAATTTCCCATGACAGAATTAACAATTTTTATTTTTAAAATGTCTGTAATAACAACTAATATTTGTGTATCATTTTATAATTTAGGGGCTGGAGAGATGGCTCAGTGGTCTAAAGCACCTACTTGGAACAAGCTTGGCAAAGCACAGGGACCGCGGTTCGATCCCCCAGCACCACATGCCAGCCCCACCCCCTGGTGGGCTGAGCTGGCCACACACACACACACACACACACACACACACACACACACAATAAATGTTAAAAAAATAAAGTTTTATAATTTAAAAGTGTTTCCATTCATAGTCACTAGCTTAGCTTTTACAAGAACTCTCAAATGAAAGAGAAATCCTACTTGAAGTACTCATAAAGTATTAAGAACTATATCATTGTGCTATTTATCTAAATTTCAAAAGAATCTACTAGTGTCTTAAAGGCAAAGATAACAAGGATACAAAAGGGTGAAAGAACTTCTCTGAGGTCACACCAACTTTAAGTGGAAAAGGTGAAACAAATCAACCTGTCTTCCTTAGGAACTCTATGCTCACTGTACCATGCTGCTAAGAGTTCAAGCCAAAGGCATCATGTTATCTTATCAAGTCATACAATTATGTCAGTTAAAAAAACATAGAAGGACATATTGAGCTAGGAGCTATACCTATAATATCGATTTTATAATAAGAATAGTTTAAGGTTATAAACTTTACCACTCTACAGAAATAGTGGGCTATTTTCTTTTAAAGCATTGTGCGAGCTTAAAGCATTGGCACTTGATGGGATGAGATATGCTAGGTAAAGACAGATTATTATTTACTTCCACAGGTGAAGAGACAAAATGGCTACTGTTTCACTGTAAATTTTGCCTAGTCATTTTCAAAATTATAGGCTTTATGTTCTGAGTGGGGATTTTTGGTCCCAAGTGTTTACACATAGACAGACAGACAGACAGACAGACAGACAGACAGACAGACACACACACACACACACACACACACACACATTTATGTAATCCTCATAGTAACTCTGAGCTGTACACTAGGATTACTCCCACTAGAATGAAGGAGAAACCAAAACACAAAGTAACTTAAATAGCTCAATTAAGAGCACGAAGCTCATAGTGGTACCACCAGTCATGTGTAGACGCAGGAACTGGAACCAGTTTATCCTCCTAAGACGTGTGTTACTCTTCTTCCCAAATATGTATGACTCTGGTCCCTTTGCTGATAGCATTCAGTTCAATACCTCTATATAAGTTGTTCCTCTCCCCTGAGACTACCATTAATCTACTTAGAGAACCCCACCACACTGAAAAGATTGAAAGTGGACAACGTAGCACACTAATCAGAAGAACTGCTTCCCATCTTCCCCTCTCCCTTTCATTTTCTATGTTACTATTAGAAAGTTTTTCTCAAGTGTAAATGCAGTTGAGCGCTCTACTCTCTCTTTAAAATTTGTCTCTGGTTCATAGCAGCCTCAGGATAAATGCACACTTCTAGATACTGAGGGATATGATCTGGTATCAGTTTAACCCTCACATCTTAATTCTCACCAGTTTCCCTTTCAATGTCAATACAACTGCCCAGACTTGATGTCTTGTTATTCTCTCTACAGGAATTTTACTTTTCTTGACTTTGCTAAATCCCACTTGAGGGATCTCCCTTGACCACTTACCTTTCCCTGCATGGTCTTTCTGTATTATTACACTCCCCCCACTATTGCAGTGAGTGTGCTGCACTTCCACTGCCATTCTCTTGTCTGGATTGCCAGGGGGCTGTAAATCTCCTAAAGTCAGCTACATGCCATATTCACCTTGAAGCCTCCTAGCACAATGCCTGATACTTTACAGAACTAAACAACAATCCATGAATAAATGAACTACTTTGTAGTGGTACAACTGGTGTAATAAACAAGACTTACGAAATACTACAAAATGAAGCAATGCATTTGTGAATGCATTTGACCTTTTATAATTCAATACTGAGATTTTGTTAGTAAGAATAAGCATGATAGAACTGCCACAGAGTGTTTCTGAGCTGGGCCTCCTTGTGTTTCTGAGACCACCCTTGAACTCCTGGGTTCCAGTGACACTCTAGAGCCAGGACTTCAGCTGTGTGCCCCCTCCAGGGCCAGCCTTGCTACTGCATAGTAAGAATCTCTTCTTTAACAAATGTAATTAATTTTATCTTAAAGCACTAGCTAAACTCATTATGTTAAATTAAGAAACTACAGATACTTGATATATAAAATTTTACTGACAGTCATTAAATCAAAGTATTCAGAATTGAGGGCCAGCAAGATAGCTCAGCGGGTAAAGCGCCTACTTAGGTAAGCTTAGGCAAGCGCCAGGACCGCTGTTCTATCCCCAGCATACTTTCTGCTCCAGCCCCACCCCCAGGGCAGGCTGAGCCAGGTACAGAGTCTGGGCATAGTAGCACACGCCTGTAATCTCAGTACTGGAGAGGCTGAAAACAGGAAGATCACAAGTCCAAGCTGCACAGTGAGACCCTGCAAAAACCAAATATATTTTTTTTAAAAGTATTCAGAATGACATGAATATTTTATAATCAATTCTAGGTACCTCTCCTAAAAATTCACTTTCTTCCTCTCGAACTCTAGCTTGATCCCAAAGAGTAATTTCCAGCATTCGTTCCCGAAATTCTCTCCGGTGAACCGGAGAATAAATGAATGTTTGGTTCCATTTGGGTTCCAATGTTTTCTTTACTGTTTTTGTTCTCCTCTTGTTTTTATCACTATGAAAAAGAAAACAATAT